AGCTGCAATAGCTCCAATGCTGCTGCAAAAACCAGTCTTTCTTTCCAGCTTTCCTTTCAAGTTGCTTTGAAACTGTAATGCTGAAGCACAGCCTGAGTCCAGGCACAAAGACCAGCTTCAAAGCTGCACACAGCCTTTCTGGGAGATGAATAAACAGAGCAGGAATCCAATCCACTTCTGCTTATCTAGATAACGGTCACCAAAAACACAGGCGGGGCAGAGATACGCCGTGTATCCTGAGGAAAAAAAGCTTGCAGGAAGCTAGTACAAAATAGATGCAAAATTTCTCTGCTACAAATCTCTATCAGATAATACCACATTATATTAAATACTAAAACTAGAGCAATTTCTGTATTTTCTGTACTACAGTCTACAAGTCTTTAGATAACTGGATAATTTGAATAATTCGTTCTCAAAGGTAGTTGGCAGCTGACTTAAAAATTGCTCTTGGTGGGGTTCTTTTTTGCTAATGACACCAAAATAGGTATTAATCCATAAGAGAAAAATAAGCATTGCCAACCACAACCTGTCAGTAAACCTTGTAATACCAACTGCCACCACCAGTAAATCATTAAATTGGCTTATAATCATGAAGTTGATATTAAAAAATTGTGTTGAGGGCTTTTTTAAAAAAAATAAAAATAAAAATTGCCATCTATGTTTTGTGTCTATAGGTCACATTAAGACTGGAAATGTATTTTAAGAGATTTTAAACAAAGACAATAACGGTTCCAGGAACTGGGACTTTCACAAAAACATGAAGTATTGAAAAACTGACAGCACTGCAAGTTCTCTGAACTTGTGCATTTATTCCAAGCTTAAAGATAACAAAAACGTTATGGAAAATGTCCAAAATAATACACCATCTCACAAGTGCCAGTGTTGGACAGTTTACAGGAGCTATTATTACCACACAGAAATCTGCTCGCTAACAAGCTGGGGAAGAACTTAACACCCTCTTTTGATGGTGCACGGTACTGATGACCAACACAGCTACTGCTACTGCAGCGCTGGGTAACGTGGACAGTGCAAAGGCCATTTTATCTGACTACCATGAAGGGGAAAGTAATCTGTCAGCCTATCACTCCCAACTGGTATTGCTGCACCAGCAAAACTTTGGAAGGTATTATAACAAAGACTAAAACAAGATGACATCTGCCACTGTGATGGATGGAGCTTTAACAATGAAGGGTTGGTTCCTTCTTCTTTACAGCCCAGAAAACTGATTATGGCAAAGACCAAATTGGGGGCAGGAGTGGACAGTATTGGATTTAGTTTGTCATTAAGGATCTTCTTGCTGGGCCAGTTTAAATCAAGGCTGTTCTTGTTGTTAACCCAGTCCTGTCACAGTCATTGCAGTGAGGTCAAAGGCCATTCAGCTTTTTGGGGTTTGTAGATAGGACAGCTACTTCTAATGGCATCTCAGTTAAATTAAAACCAAACAAGTATTTGGAAAGCAGGAAGCACACCTGACTGATAAAGGGGCAGGTATCCCTTGTGGAGCCCAGCCCATGTGCTCAAGGGTTATGCACCAGGGCTGCAGAGCAGCACTGGGATGGTTTCACCCATGCTTGGGCTTTGTCCTGTACTATATCCTGGTCCCCAGAATGGAAGCCTGGGTAGGTGAAGGGACACAAGTCCCGCAGATGGCAGGCTCAGATGCCTCCTGCCCAAGGTGTGGGTGTTGGCACTGACACCCTCCTTACACAAGCAAGAGAGCCAAGTATCTAAGAGCTTGGAGAGAGCCAAGTATCTAAGAGTAAGGTCCAACCAGCACCCTGACCAGAAAAATAGATACCTCATCCATGTAACAGAGTGTCAAAGGACATCCCAAATCCTGCCTCACCTGGACAGAAGCACCTCCCAGTGAAGAGATGGCAGGTATCAATGTCATGCTGAAGGTCCCTACCACCCCCAGGCCCTTCAGCCAGCAGGGCAGGACCTGGTCAACCATTCCCTTGGGCCTCAGCACACACATTAACCTTACACTGCTTAAGGTGCTGTGGAAGCTGAACGACCAGACTGCGATAGCCTCTGCATGAGCCACTGAGCAACCCAGCCATGGATGGTGCAGCCCACCTATAAATAACACTGCCTGCACCACTGCATTTCTGACCTCTCCCGCCGCCCCATTAGCAGAGGAGCAAACCCCTATCTTGCCTCTTATGCAGTCACAGAAAACAGATGAGTTACATTTTTTTCACAGCGTGAATTTTCAGCCAGTGTAATCAGTGACTCATGTATCTTTTTATTAATTGCTAAAATAACTGTCTCTGAAAGCCCTCACCGGAGTTCTGCCTTGAGCAAAGGCATTAGGGGGCTGTTTCAGAGGCTCAGAGAAAAATTGCACTGCTAAATGCATATTAACTGCCCAGACTATTATGTTGGGCACAACTTTACGATCCTATTTGTAAGTGATTTATGCCTTAGGAACAGACCACAGATCAGTAGCAATGAAGAGAGATAACTCCAGTGCTGTGTCACGCAAATGTGACCTTGACAGAAACAACAAAGTCTGCCTGAATGCAGATATGGGCCTGAAATCAGAAAGACACTTAGGTGCTTAAGTGAGGCTTGGTAGAAGTTTAAGACACAATGTCGTGTCTTAAATCCCCTTCCTCAGCTGCTGCCTAGCTCTGATAGCAACTCAAACTCAGCTGTTTCCATTTCAACGCCCCAGACATCTCAGCTTGCACACTGCCATGTGGCACTCCAGTCCTGGTGGCACCGAAGAGGTCGTAGAGTAGCACAAACCCAGCCCTGCCACAGCTCCTAACACATTTGTCTCTCCTCCTCTCTCGCACACTTGCTGGAAGAAGCTCCAGGCAAGTTGTGGGTACATCCACTAGCCTTTGAAAGAAGGCCAGCGAAGGAGGTGGCCACTGGCTCTTCTGCAGTGGCCCAGAAATTATGGCACTCTCCAGCCTGCCTTGCCAGGAGAGCACTGCTGTGTTGAAAGAGCTCCATCTTTTAAGAAAAACACCTGTATTCACTGGGCTAGAAAGAGGGAGATGCTGGTGGGAGACTGGGATGGAGCCTGCATCCCCCAGTGCAGAGGGTGCAGGACTGCACATTCTGAGGGCTCTACCTATAATGGGCCCACCACACAGCAAGGTCCAGCACCAACAGCTACATTTCCAAAGGGTGAAACCATGCTCTTTACAGAGAGCTTAAACCCCTGCTTTCAGGAGGGGGCTACTGGCTGGGAGTCCTGAAGAAATGCAGATACCTAACTCGTGACCTTCTCCACAGATTTTGGCATTACCCCTTTCCTTTAGCACTTCTGTGCTGACTAGGCCAGTGGTGCTTGCTCAGTGTCCTGGTGTTTGCAATTACCTCCTCGAGCTTCTTCATTTGCTGACAAACTTAAAGCAGTGGCTGCAACCACTGGGACCAGGCACCTAGGATCTGGACATGCATCTATTTTACATCCAAAGTTCCCCCCAGGGGAAAGGAAACAACACAAGCAGTTTATAAAAGGGTTTTGAGTAGACATTAGAACTTCTGCCAGCTCTCCTGAGTTATTGGAGTTTCTATTACAGACTCTACTGCCCAAATTTGATGAGATTTGGTTTACACTGGTTTGTAATACATGTTACTTTTTCCTTTCTCTGCTCTAAAAAAAAAGTGCTATAACCACCATATTTTGTTTTCCTGCACACTTCTGTTCTCCAGAGCATCCATCAGTTGTATGATCTCCTTTAAAGCTCTTCTCCAGTGTCATGCTTTGTTTCCTCATTGTCTTTCTATGCTTGCAGAAATCACCAAACTGTCTTGCTACAGGAGAATTGCCCCAAAATAATCAGCAAAAACTCGTGCCTTCCATCCCTGGTACAAAGTGCTGGATGACTCTCGCAAAGTCTTATGCTATGAAATCAAACTGCTAAATTCACAGTAGAAAGTTCAAAATATTTTAAAGTTAAAATATACCCAGGTGTTAAATACTGGCAGGAGCATGCAAACATACATGGATCATCTAAAGCAGACGTACACGAAGGCAACTGAATGTGCCCTGGTGTTTCCCAACATCACTGTGCTGCTGTCCTCCTCCTCTGCTAAAGAAAGGCAGTCGTGATACTTCGCTCTGAACAATAAATGATGACGTATGACCAGCAGAAGTGAAGAAGACATAAAAAAATAAGCATGAATGAAAAAAATTGCATTTTAAATGAGATTGAAATGGGAGTACAGGAATAAGCTACTTCCCATATTTATATTCATCTAGAAATGATTATGAACCTTGGATTATTGTTCCATTTGAAATTTATTTTCTGCTTCTTAAACTGGAGCTTCCAGAAAGGAAGTTTCGGGGCCTGGGGCCTTTGTTTTAAAGGAACTTGTTTTCCCAGTCAGACTTTCAGAGAGTGCATACAGGGCAGGACACCTGATGCAGAGCACCCAGCGCAAAGCTCACCATGCAGTCATGCACCACAGAAGAGCTTGGTCATGCCAGGCCAAGGGTTGCAGCATGCAGCCATGGGAGATGTCAAGCTCAAGGCGGCAGGGTTGACGCACAAGATTTCTAACCTCCTTCTCTCTTTCTGATCTTCTAGGTTCCTTCCTAGCCTTTCTCTTCTCGTTTCTCTTATCTTTTTCGTCCTTGATTTCCTTCACCGGGACAACTTTCTCCTTGACTATTTCTGAGGTGTGTGCTGTGTGGATACTCATTGACCATTTAGAGATGGCACTGGGATCCCAGAAAGACTTTTCGGTATTGGCAGGGAGAAGGAAAGAGTTAGCTCCCGGGGTGGCGTACTCTACAGAGCTGGACTCCACCGGTTGAAATTCGTAATAATCCCACTCCAGGCCACTGGAGGTCATTCTTCAACTAATTCTTACGGCTCTGACCGAGTTTTAAAGAATGTATCTGCAGAACATGAAGTGAGTGTTTTAATCTCTCCACAGCATTTAGCAACTTTTAAGTTTCTGCTTATCATGTGGCAGATAAAAAGTTAGTCTTGCATTCATTCACTAGCTACAGAGAATCAACTCCAAAGTAAAATGTGATTAGGTTTCTCTTGCTATTTAGAAAAATAAAATATAGGTCATGTTTTTAGAACCTGGAGGTTTTTTTTCTTTTATCACAACAATGCTACAGACAAAAATCAACTAAATGATTTACTTTTCAATTAAATATGATACTCCTCATTGTCATGAGCAATTTCATCTCTGAACCTAAATCTGTATTCCTGAAAAACAGCAATGAAACATAAAGATGTTAATCAACACTTGATACTAAGATGCCTTCACTGCCAAATAAGTACACAGTGAAAGTGACCGAAGGCGTAATTAATAGATTGCAATTAGAATATGAACATATTCTAGGGGGCATAAATAAAGTGTAAAATGAATTATACAAAGAGAAGCTATAAATAGAGAACCTTCTCTGAAGACCCATGTAAAAGGAAAACAGAAATATTTTACTTAATACCTTACACAATCAAAAAATTTTCACTTGGAGTTTTAGCCTTCCTCCTCTGAGACAAATCCAAACACACACTCTGAGATTCAGCAACTCATGAGGCTCTCCTCAACCCCAACCAAATTCCTAGTACTAAATACAAAGCCAAAATCAAAATACATTTTACAGAAACAGTACCCGTGAATCAAGCATGCATCTATTCTGTGCAGATTAGTCAGCACATTTAGAAGCGGTATCCAGTTGTGAACAAAGCCCCTGAAAAGACTGCAAGGCAAGTCAAATAGGTCTTCTATGAGATGAATATCACTATAATGCAAGACTCTTCACTAAACTGAAATGATGCTAAACACTGATTTACTGTTTTTCCATTATGGCTATCACGTTTATATATAAACAGCCTAGATTTAATACTATAGGATTAAAAAAACCCCCAAACTCACTCAAAAACCAGTTTTCACAGAAAGTAAATTTCAGCAAATCAGTGGAAGCTCCTGCATTCTTAGAGCAACTTGCATTTCTCAGGAAAATTGACTGTACTTGTAAAGTACCTGCAATTTTGTATTAAATACCTGATGAATCATTTTTGCTGGGAGAAGTCAAAAAACATACTCAGGATACATCTGTATAAACTGATATTCCCGTTACACTTGCAAACCTGCTCCATTTCATAGATGGGCAGAGTGAAAGAATAAAGAGAGCAGGAAGCAAAGTTTCTTCCTAGAAAAACAAGTTTCCCAGTAGAAAGCTGGCTCCACCAGTACCACAGTCTGACACTTGCCAGACACAGACTGCAAACGTCTCACAGGGAAGCAGCTACTCATGCAGAGAAGGAAACTATAGATTTTCAATTTCTATAGATATTCAAGACCCTCTAGATGCAAACAAATGCCTGAGAGGACTTTCAGAAGGCATCTAGACATTTCCAGCATCCTTTTAATAGCCCTCTACTAACCACCTTTGGACCTCTAGGTCTCTTGAAGAATCTACACTGTATTTATTATGGGGGGGAACAAAAGCAACCCTCCCTCAGACTCGTTCCAGTATGCTATCAGAAGTTAGCAACAAATATGCTGAAGCCACAGTTATTCAACTGCCATTGCACTTTTCAGCCTAAACCTTTGTTCATCAGAGTGAGGTAACTAAAACCACGTTACCAGTCACTCCAATGCGTCTTAAAGCCTGGTTCGAGGTTAGAACTATTCTTATGGAAAACCAAGAAATTCCAATAATCTACATATTTTAAGGAATAATAACAAACCACCATTTGCTAAATTCAAAGCTGGCTTCGTTGTGCTGACGCTTCACCACACGACAGCCTCACAGATGCGACCACCCCCACACCAAGCATGGCTGCCAAGAGGACAATGCCCCTGCGACGCCACACAGCGCTGCGGGAAGCTGCTCCATACTCTATACGCTGCAGCGTGTGTCTACACAAAAAGCATCTCCCACTTCAGGCAAAAATCACAACAGATTATGTCCCCTACCTGATGTCCTCCAGTGGGTTCCCAAAGAGTACAGCAAACTCTTATTTCACTTCTACACCAAGCACCAGACAACTCTCGCTGCTACTCACACCTGGCCAGTGCAACCAGTGCTCTTATAAAGCTCTGCAGCTTGAGCAACAGGACCAAGCTATTCGATGAAAATCACCACATTTTACATCTCCCATGCAGTTTTGCATCTCCAAATTAGAGGTTACATCTCCAAATTAGAAAATGGAGAGACAGATTTTGTTTTCATTTAATCCTACTTCAAAGAAGTGAAGGTCTACTTCTGTTTGCAAATTACCTTCTCCCCTCCACCCCAAGCCAGAAGGTTGCATCTACTTACGTCATCCTGAATATCCAGGTCACAACCTGCCTTCAACAAAACCTGGACAACGTGGAGATGACCCTTGTGGGCAGCAAGATGCAGGGGAGTCCGGCCATGCTATGAATGAGAAGAAAATAATAATATCTTTAGGTGAATTTTTATGCGTGGTTGTTGACCAGAATTTTATCCTTTTCCTCATTCTTCTGTTCCTGCTTCTCTCTCTGAAGCCTACAATAGCAGCAATTGGCATATATTAGTGTACCAAAGGCTTTACCTTAGTTTTGTGTATGCTGAAAGCTCTTCCTCCCCCTTCAGCAACATTTCAGTTTATCTCAATAATACTATGAGATTATATTCACATAAGAATACTTCCTTACAAACTCGGATCTGGCTTTGTGTCCACGCCTAAGAAGAATTCATGACTCTCTTGTTTCTGTCCCTCTGGAGCGCAGAATTGTCAACTGCTTTCAACTTCACTCTGTACACCAAAGTTGCAATAGTGGGCTAATTCATACATTGCAATGGCTACTACCATCTTTGTGATAGAAATAAGAATTACTGGACCGTTGTGTATGACGGATGCTGCCCTTAAAAGGAATGGAAGACTTGTAGTCACTTCAAGTGACTTCATGTGTACAACAAACAACCTCATTTTGCCCAAGATCTGTCAGTTTTTTTTAAAAAATACTCTAACCCACATGAAAGTAGGAATATAAAATAGCAATAAGAAATTCAAGCTATAGTGTAATCAAAGATGTTCCCTAATAAACAGAAGGACAGAAAAGTTTTAATTAGTGAGATGGATAAATAATACATGGTTTTAGGAGAAAAACAAAACAAAACAACAAAAAACCCCCCAAAGATTGAAAACTGATGGTAAAATCATTTTTTTTTTAAAAAGCATCTGCCCAACACATGGGTTCCAAAAATCTAAGTGAAATGACAGGAGGAAGACAATAGTTACTTGTAACTGACAATAGTTACTTGTAACTTGATCATCTTTTGGCAGAATTTAAGATGAAACATTTCAGGAAAAGGGGAATGGGCTGCCTCTCCTAAAAGAGGTAAAGAATCGACCTAAAAAGAGGCTCAAAGAGAGAAGACATTGCAAGACGCAGTCTGGACAACAGAGGAGAGCTGCAACAAGGAATTCCCTAAACATTTAACCCATGCAACTTGAAAAAGAAAACTCATAAGGGAGAATCAAGAATTAACTCTTGCTCTAGGAAGTGTGTTTGTGTGTGCGTACACCTATATACACACACACTTGTACATATATATATATATATATATAAAATCTCAAAGCATCAACATGAAAAGCAAGTGTTTAAGAACTTAAGAACTGTTAAACAGCAACATTCTCAAACTGTTGATTGCAAACTTTATTTCATCGCACTTAAGAAAACAGGATTCCAGACGTTGGTAAAATCACAGAGTATCTTCACAAAGAATTGTGTTTTTTTCACTAGGCATTTTATGAGATAAAGAAGAGTTATATTAGTCTTCACCTATACCTGTTATACATCTATTTGTTCATTACCAGTGCTATCTTCTATTTTTCCACCCAGAGATTTACCCTGCAAAGGAACATAAACGGCCCTAATACATTACCTACAGAAGGAGCAAACACTTCAAGAGCTGACTGGCAACTAGTCGCCTGAAGTAAGCCGAAGGCAACCACCACCTCCTGAGGTTTTAAGCAACTTCCCCAGTGGGAAAGCTACTTCAAGTAAATTAAAAAAAACCAAACTCGGGACAGGATTGTTTTCACACAGCAAATCCCATACCCACATAGCTGGTAAAGCCTCGAGAATCCAGACTCTTCAGAGCAAAAAGGAAAATCATCGCTGAAATCCACAGAACAGCTGGGGATGAGATGTCTGTGGTGTTACTAACTAGTTGTGCTGTGCTTTGAAAACACAATCAATATTGATTAATTGTCCTGTGTTATCGATGTGAAGGGCCAGATCTAAGGGAAAAGTCCTCACCCACTTTGACATGTGGGTCTCTCGAAACCCAAATGTTGTCTCCCGTTAGCAGCAGCAGCTGGTTCCCACATGGGAAACATCCATTCCTGTCCACTGAAGACCTGGGAAGGGCTCATTTTGGGCTGTCACCACTGCCCCTGGGCAGCATCCAGCCTATTGCTTGGGTGCTTCTCACTCAACCTGGCCACAGGTCCTTTAAACACCTTTCCCCACAGTGAAGGCCACCGAGCTGCACCAAGCACGCTTCCTTCTCCATCAGCCTGGAGGATAGCCAGGGCTACATTGCTGTTCCAGGGAAATGAATAGCAGAAGGCATAAAAGTCTCCAGGCAACGTGGTGGGGGGAAAAAAAACAGAAAAAAAAGAAAGGAAAAAAAGAATTTAAAAAAAAAAAAAAGCCAGATTGACAAATCGTTCCCAGCTCTGAACAATACGTTTGGATTGCGAATATGTGCTCCAGCACGTCCAGGTTTATGGATTCTGATTTTCTACATTACTTAATGGCACTAAGTAAATCACCTAATCCAGGCATCTCACTTCCCAGCAGGTTACTAATATATCACAAAAACAATTTATTGCAATCTGTGCACAGAGCAGAAAAAATCCCAAACAAACCCAACCTGAAGCCAGCTCATGTACTTTAAAAGGAAAACAGCGTCAACTACATGAATATATCACAGCTGGGAAACTTTCTGATAACATAACATCTCCAACCACTGAAAAAAAAATGCTGAGGTGCAGCCAAAGGTACTGTGTTAAAAATAAACTATGAAAGCAGAGTATGAGTTTACTGCAATATGAGGGTCACATTTTCCCCATGCAACACACCTTTGCAGGCAACCGCCACACGGAGCGTGCTGGGTGCACACACACAAGAAAAGGCTGCAAAACCGCAGAAGATCCACATCACACAACCTTCACCTGCCCGTTCAGTGCCTTAAGCCACATTGAAATAAAGCTGCCCCAGGGAATGGGCTTACCCAGAGGAGGCTGCCCTCGCCCCAGAGAGCACCAAGTTCTGCCACTGGGACCAACCCATGCCGTGCCCTCGATAGCGGGCAGCCCCCGGTGCTCACAGCCAGCCACAGGAGATGGGTGCTGGAAGAGGAAGGGGCACTTGCTGGAAGAAGCCACCGTGAGGCCAGGGAAAGCTGCAAGCAAGGGTTGTCTGGCTCTTCCCGTCACTTAGCGGACAGAGTTTCACATTACCTGTGCATTTCCCCTATCATCATGCCCAAGACCTCAAAAACTTCATTCAGGTGCCCAAAACTCAGGTTTTTGTTTGTTTGGTTTTTTTTAAAAAAAGAGTTATTGAAACAGAAGACTAGAGGATTATTTTTATTCCAAAGGGTTTGTGTATTTCAAGATTCTCTATCCAAAAACACAGGTTCAGAGGCTTCCCACCTATTGGAAACCCCCAGGAGAGGTGGGGCTCTCTTGTTCTCTCTCTCTGGTCTCTTCAGAGACCAGAGCTACTGCATACATGCAGTCTTTGAGCTCTTCCCATTATAAAGGGACAATATAAAGGAAAACTATGACCCTACCTAGGATGTGAGAGTGGGAAGGAGGATCAATTCCAGCACATTACACTGATTAGAGGCTCAGGCTTTTGGAAGAGCAGTGATCATCTCAAGATTAATCATAACTCTGCTGCAATGCCAGATTTTCTTTTTCTTCCCAGTAACACCAAAATAAGAGCAGAGATGGGCGGTACAGCTGGACAGTGCTCCTCAACAGGCAACACTAACACTGGAAGAACACTCCCACCTACCTCCCTATGCAAACATATACACAGGTTTGTATGTACATATGTACACACACCCCCTGATCCAGAACAAACTATGAGGGACAGACAAGGTGATTTGAGTGCCCCTCATGCTGTGATGACAAACTTAGAGCATCGCAATCTTTGGCAAGAAACTTTCAACAGGTCTGTGGCATGGTGGGAAGCCTCAGCAGCGACAGCTAGAGCTGCCCTTGCCTGCCTCTCATCTTCTCCTTCCTGTCTGCAAGTCAAACCAATAGTCCTTTACATCAGCTGTGAAGGATATGGCTGAGGGGCTAATAGGACTTTTTATTTTTTAAGAAATAAAATTTTTCTCTCACAACAAGGCATCCTACCTAAAATATCTCGGAGGAAGAGGGAGGAAGGCAGATAAATTTTCCTCTGCGTGTCTCCTCCATAAAGACATTTGGCACTCACCACTGGAGCACTTAAAGAGGTGGCTTATCTGAATACACATGGGTCCTATTGGGAGAGGAAACGTACAAACAAGAGTGTCTCCTATAGATGCTCACTGCAAGGAGACAACACTAAAACCAGAAACTCCTTAGCATGCAGATTACCGACTTAAAAGCTTGTGAGCATTTCCAAATATCAACTCTAATGGTTTGGGGGTTATTACAGAAATACAGATGAGAAACTGCTATGACTTGGGATTAATGAACCAATAAAGCAGTCATTCATACAAAAAATATGCAATTTGGACTTCTATTCAAATGTAAATAATTGCTTCAGCAGGCAACTAATCATACAAATCCTCCCGTGTCATGGGCTTATTGACAAAATAAATGGGACCTATTGCACTAAGGCTGCAACTTCCAACAACCGTGACATGCTGTGGGGCTATCAGGTTGCAGCCAAGTGCAGTCAACAGCCACATGAATTTCAGCAGTGAAATGCAAGGGTGGGGGCTTTGATTGTATTTAATCTTTATTCTAACTTCCAGGCATTGATAGGCAGCTGTCGATACATATGGTTTAAAAGGAGAATTTTCTTAGAGCAGTTGCCAGTGTATGCACTCTGCAACCAAATCCATTCGGGGGGCCTCAGCCACGTGAGCTTTCCTTCTGTTTATGTATTTGTAGATGCTTTTATGCAAGCACATTCAATTCTCCATCTCACCCTGCTTTTGTCCTGCACCAGGACTGTTATTTATTCATTCCTTCTGCACTTACACAAAAACATGCAGATCCACATTTTATTAGAAAGCTCAAAAACAAAAAAACAAGTCACATTGTTCACACTGATGGTTTGTTAGACTGTTCCCCATGAATAACCTGCTCAAGTCAGCAGAAAGTTTCTCACTGACCTCAATAGGCATTCAGCGAGTCCCTAAATGTTTGCTAGGCCCCTGTCATTAATTTTTATTTATTAAACAGACACAACCACTTTTCCAAATTGAAAGAGCATAAAAATGTGAAAGCATAAAAATCTATTTACTTTTTGTTTCTTACAAAGGAAGAAAAAAAAAAAGATTGTTTTAAAGAACTCAGCATGCTCTGAAGTTGCAATCCTGATGACAAGCACTCCAGCATTACGAAAGCGTTGCCATATGGCAGGTTGGAAACACAACTAATTCTAAAATCAAACCAAACAAACAGAATTACCGAATCAAAACAGACGCGCTACCTTCTGCGTTTCTGTTTTTTTCCAAATGATCATCCCTTCTCCACAGAATTCAATTTTATATCTAAAATCTTAAAGTTATGCTCTGCAGAAAAGCTATATTCTGCTTCCCTTTGGAAAAATACTCATAAAACTCCTGACGCTATACAAATTAAAACCGCCCGTACTATCTTTATGACTTCCTCTGGCAATCTGCTTCACGTTTCACAGAGAAGAGGCACGCTCCTCTGTGAACACTTGCTAATACACAGCTTTTTCTGGCCCTATTAATTCTCACTCTTGAATGCTACAATTCTCACTCTTAAAATGCTACTCATCCCATGCTGCAATGCCCCAGTGAAATCCAACACCCAGTAAGTGCCTTGTTTCGGACAGGTATCCTTGAGATACACCAGAAATTGATGCCTGGGAGGTGAAATCCTGCTTCTCTCCATCCTCCAGACACTGTTCTGGGGACAAGATCGAGAGGAGCAGACCTGATCTGAGATGTCACTACTGCCATTCCTCCTGGGCCACTCCTAGTAGTTCTCAGCCCTTTTCCTAACCTATCTTAACTCAGAAAATCAAAAGAAAAATAACGCAGGAAAAGGCAAACAACATCCTGGGAGGACAGCAAGGCAGAACAGCTCAGCAAAAGTCCCAGCTCTTAAATGTCAAAGATGCAGCTGTCAGTAACTTTACTGAAAGAAAGCTCTACTACAAAGGGTCTGAAAGAAGGGACCAGCTTTCTTGCTTGAAAGAAAAGACTTAATTATACCAGGTTCAGTTCTTAATTTTCCAGCTTTTGCAGCATATTCACCAAAATACTTCCTAAAGGCACCTGCCTGTTGGATCAGCCAATTTGTATGATCAGTTGTTCAGGGTACTTTTTGCCCTTTTCATAAAGAAAACAGCTATAAATTTCACACCTGTGAAGAATGTCAGACAAAAGTCACCAAAACAGAAATAATCTCTTCATCCTACCAGGCATCCAAACAGAGCAGCCTGGTCAAGAAGATGCCCAGAGCAGAACCATGAAGCCTCATGCACTGAGATCCAGACTGTTTCTTGGCCACCAACTCACATGGTTGGTGATAGAGATCCCAGCACCAGGATAAGCACTTGATGTACATACAACGTGGGGCCACCAGCCCTCTCCCAGTCTGGGCTCCCTGGTGCCAGATTCTCAACAGTGCTGTGACCTACTGGCCATCGGCTCTTCCTTATGTATTTTAAAAGGCCCCAAATCTGGGAAGAGCCCCAGTGTCCCCCAGTGGAGTCAGGGAAGATGCTGTAGTGTACACTTCCAGATTGACTTCACCTGCACAGATGCCTTTCTGCTAACACTGGCAAAGCAAAACAAGTGTATCCCTGAGGAAATGCTGAAGTGAGCACCTGGACATACCAATTTGCCACTGAATTTTGATTCTTTCATACTGTGCTTCTTCTGAAATCGTATAGTCAGAGGTGACAAAGAAGAAATACTATTTTGCAGCTGAATTGTTTATTGAAGAATATTAACCACATTATATAACCTTCCCCATATACAATAAAAATACAACTGGATGAGCTTGCCAGCTATCCAGAATTTAATAGTATTTGGTTTGTTACAGAAAATAGGCTTCATTTTTCTTACGTCACGCTCAATTAATCCAGCTTCAATAAAGAACTCTCTAGCACTTAGCTCTAGATCCTGGTCACTTCAAGCTGTGGCTCTGCATGGTTTCTTTCACAAGAATCGGTCTGTGCTTACAGATGCATATCTGAAATATATTTACAGCCTAAAGTGATGTGGGAACTTTTTCTCTCCCTCCAAAGAGCTTTGTCTCTGCATGCTTTCTTCCAATAAAACTCTGATAGAATTCAGTAGGAATCTTGGCTGGCAAGCACAAAATCTCCTTTTTTTTTTTTTTTTTTTCCTCCTTTGGAGAAAATCCCTAGAATTTAAACTTCATTTGACAGAAGAAACTGAAAACTATTGAATAAAAGCAGAAGACATACAGGTAAAAGAGAACTAAGGCATGCACATAAATACATTTATTTTTAGGCTTCATTTTGCACTGAGTTTTATCTTTGGGAGGGGAGAGGGCTCTAAGTTTCAATTTATCTGAAAGTTTGATCAATAGTTCTCCACTACAACAAGCACATCATCTAATTTCCATTGTAAACTTAACAGTCCCTATCCTGAAAACAGTTCTTATTTTGTGCCTGTTCTGCTTATTGAAAGCCTGCACAAGAACCTGGCTCTCAAATGGCTGAAAAATCCCTTCAAATGTTCAGTTTAAACGTACTCGAGGCTAATTTATACGTGCTTGCTCCTGTGACAACCTTGTCCTTGCCTTGAAATGGCTCTTTCTCCTTCCAGCCTTTATGTATCACCAGATTAGCAAAGCAAGCTCTTACAGGGTATGTTTACACAGCCTTTCATAGGTAAATATGCACATGCTCTCCCTATGCAGCCAGCTGGCTGGGTGAGAGCCAGACACAAACTGGATGCTGCACAGACCTGGATAGGGCATTACTGAGCCTGATCTGATAGGCTTTGATAAGGGCAGCAGCTTGATCTCACACTTCGTGGTTCATATTGAGCTCACCTCTATCTGCTTCACAGCAGGAGCGGAATCAGTGTGTGTGCATCTCCAAACTGCCCCAGGCACAGAGCCTCTGTTGCTCCTCTGAGGGCCTCTCCGCTCCTCTGTGCGCCCCTCCACTGCCTTGGCTGAGCTGACTTCATCTCTTCTGAGCAGGTACTTGTCACCCAAGTACCTTGTCTGTTGCTGTCTGCTGATGTGCCAGGATGCATCCAGAATGGCGAGAGGGACAGCTTTTGTCACCACCCCTCTCAGGCTCCATGGGGATGACCCACAACCTCCCTAAGAAAGAATAGCTACAATGCTGTAGTACCAGGTCAGCTTCAGTGATGGCCTCACAGCTCACCAGCGAGCACAGCTTTCTAACAGAAACATTAACCCTTTGCACCCGGGTACAGCTTTGCCACCAAATGAGTTTTGCTTTCATTTTCCATACAAGGGTTGAACAACAAAGCAAGTGCAAGAAGCAGGAAGCCACCTATATCATATGGGAAAGAAAAACTTGTAACTCTAGCAAATCTGCATTTTATCAAATTAACCTGATTTTGTGTTTGAAAGTCAGATCTACACAATTCTTATTGTAATTAACATAAGGCATTGATAAATTCATAATAAACAACCTTATAACAATAAGAAAGTAACAATTCTGCATTTGAATTGTGGATGATGGCAACTAATCCCATGGAGCAGCTAAATCAGTGTCATTATTATTCTGGCAACCATTACAAAGGACACCACATTTCGCGTGCAAACAGTGTGGAAGCTGGATTTGAAATTACATTCATTCACAGATTTATACAAAGCATGGCATCCTTTCAATCATTTGTATATTTTCTGGTAGGTTTCTCAGCAGTCTCAAAGCTCATGAACTTTTAAAAAAAACCAAACCAAACCAAACCAACAACCACAAAATCCTGAGCTAACATTCAGACATCTGTAATTCAGCATTTCCCCATCTATTACTGAATACCTTTAACAGCTGTTCATCAGCTACAGAGCTGCTTGGACAACAGAGCCAAACAGGCATCTTTATGGGACCATTCACGTTTATTACGTCTGTGCTTTTTTATCTACCAACAAGAGTCCATTTAATTTTGGCAAACAAAACTTACAAACACCAGTTGTCCATGGATCACACCAGCTTTCAAAATAAATACTATCTACAACTCAAACACTGCAAAAAGATTGAGAACAACTGTTACCAACAGATAGAAAGAGGAAAAGGCAGATTACTTATCAAATATACTCACGTTTGCTTTCCATCTCTAAATATTATCTCCCATACATACAGAATGTTCAAAACAGATATGGAAATACAAATAAAACTAGATACGTTGCAGAACAATAGTTCATCAAAACAGGATGTCCCAAATTTTACGTTACCGCTCTAAAGATCTAACTTACCTAATTCTTTCTAAGGGTTTTTACTGATCAAACCTTTTTGCAACTGCCAATTCTATCTCATCTTTTATATGCTAGTATTATTTACAACATCTTGAGAGTCAGGAATAGATGAGTATCAGTCTGAATTCTCGAAATATCTAAGCAGAAATGCTTTGATGTTGACCTTATCTTGAAGGTACAGGGAACACAGTTTGCAACCCCCCAAGTCTGGAACTGACTGGAGACTACACAGTGTGAACCAATGAAGATATCAGGTATAAGTGAGGCTGCTGTAATCAAGAGACTTCAGCAGCAAGAAACACTTTCTGTGTACCTTTACCTTAAAGCAACAAGTGGCTTTCCCCCATCCCCTCACCCAGAAAGATGGGTGCTCTGAACTGCCTTCCCTCGACAGTGATGAATTGCTCCATTCATCAGTTTTTAGTGTTCAAAAGTCAATGCATGCTTTGAAAAACAGAGCTGCCCCTCCACCAACACGCTACGCTTCTAAGGACTCGGCGTTCACCACCGCTGCGTCCACTGGGAAGTGTATAAACACCAGACATGCACTATATTGTAAATTCACAGGAGCTATTAGGTATAAACCCCAAGGAAATCTAAACACTAACCTCAGTTACATTGAGAATGGCAAAGCTAGGAGGGCATTTTCACAGACAATGGCCTAGGAGTTACGTTAGTTCCCAGGGATTTCGCAAAGCGTTTTTCTCTCGTTACCTTGGTAACGGCTACCTTGGCACCCTTGTTGATAAGCTGCACCACATTCTCCACTTGGCCTTTGTAGGCGGCTACGAGCAGGCGTTCTGAAAGCACGGCGACCACATCCTGCTGGCTCATGAATTAGGAGAGAAAGGTCTTCAGGTTTCTTCGGTCCAAAAACAACGGCTTGGGATTGGTTCAAGCAGCATGCAGGCGGGCGAGGAACGACCCCAGCTCCCTGGACAGTGACGTTATTGCTATGCCATCCTCTGGGCCTGTGGATCAGAAAACAACACTGCCATCAGCAAGGTTTCAGAGATGGAAGCACTGCAGCAGCTCCTCCCCGAGTGCTCATCTTTGCATCGCTTTGGGAGGGGGTCACAAAAAAACCCTCGGAGCCTCCTGAAGACATTGCACTTCTCTTGCAGCGCAGAGGGATGTAAACAGTAGCACATTTTCAATGCGCTCTCATTCCCCTAGTTTGGGACAAAAATCCTTAAAATTTTCTGAGGGCTTAACTATCTTTTGGCCTAACCTGTATTTGTGTGGCCCCATTCATTCTCTCCTTCCCTCCTGGCTTCCCAGACTTGAATTAGCCAAGGACGGGTTAACTACCTCCACTGCTAATAGCAGCTCAGCCTACATTGGCCAGGGGAACGAGAATAGTTTATAGTTACTGGCTGCTGATATAAATGCAAAAACCTCTGGCCTGGAAGGACCGAGTCCAGTCAGCAATTAAAGGCAGCTGACTGTTCCCTCATGTATAAAATGCTTCACAGCCTCCCCTGAACCATCCCAAGGTCACCTTTGGGAGGGATCACAACCTGCAACCGGGAAACACTCATCTTTGCTGTCAGCCAGAAACGATGGTCCCCCCACAGCGCTGACATCACGCCACACTGACCCCAGAAAAAATTCAGATTTAGCATTCATCGTGCAAACTTGTGAGCATGTTCTTGTTCCCAGGCTCCACTGACCCATCCAATGAGCCACTGGAGCTGAAAAGAGATTTCTGACATAATTCCAGAAAATGTATCTGCAGAACACTTTGAGCTGTAGGATCCAGAACCTGCCCAGTTTGGGAGGATTTCAGCTTTACCTGTGCTTTTCACACGTTGGCATTTAATTGTTTCAGTACAGGAAAAACACCTTCAAGTCAGTCAGTGTGTATACAGATGATTTATCTTTCCCTCTCACCTGAAATATCACCACACTGCTCCTAATCAGCTACCAGTGTTACAGACCTTACATAGTCCAAGGGTAATTGGCACAGGGACTAGATGATCTTGGAGACTGGTAGTGGAATACAATGTCTCTCGCCCTTATGTTATCCTTTTGAATCCATCTCAAAACAGCAATAAGTAATAGCTACTACTGCTTAATGGCTTTGCTGCCCCCTTAAATTGATTTGTTTGTCTTGGTTTAGCTGATAGTACAAAACCCTCCCCATCATAATCCCACCACTCAGAGTACTGACATTTTTGCTAACAGCTTCAGCAAGGAGATCCTCGCCAGAACAGCAGAAAAGATTTAATTTCTGTCCTCATACCAGGAAGATCCTCCCAGCAACAGGGAGAAAATGCATGGGTTGTTGTGGCAAATGAAGCCCCCATCTTCTAAATACTGGGGACGAGACCTTTTAATGAATATCACTTCAGTGTTATAAGATCATATCCACCAGTACACCTCTGCAACAAAAAGGTGCTGTAGCCCTGTTTAACTGAATGGTTAATAGGGTATCATGACCCTCTGTGTCACCAAAGTGGTATCCAAAATCCTTGACCCCTGCAGGATCACTGATCTACACTAAATATTTTTTATCACAAGCTCACATATGTTAAAACTATGTTGGCTAATTTGTAGTAGTAGAAGGTACTTGCAAAATTTAATTTGCACTCCTAAGGTAATTTGTATTAATGAATCTTAAAATGCTTTATGATCATTAATTCTTATAACACCCTTTGAGGTGAGTATTATGCTCAATAATATTTCACACATTTTAGAAAAGGGCCCTTTAAAGCATAGGAAAGTTCCTGGTTTCTCCAACATTAACAGAAAAGCTATGGCAAAACCAGGAAATAACTCCAGATAATTGACTTTTGATTTCTAAGTATAAGTGCTAGGCAATACTATCACCACATAAAAGATTCAGGCTAGCTTTTCTTTATCATCTTCTTGCTTTCTAGGTGTGAACATTTTTGGAGCAACATGGAAATAGCTGCACATTTATTCAGAGAAATAAGACAAAACTTTCTGGGTCTCAAAAGCAGCACAAGAGCTGCACCCTGTGCTGCTGGACAGGTGTCACCCATACCCTCAATGTGACAGACACAGTTTGGAGACCCTGGCAACACAGAAAAGATGGAAGTAAGAAGAAAAAATCCCCTCGTTTTCTTTCACCAGCATTGTACACATCATACTTTGCCCCTCTGACACAGTGAGGTGTCCAGTACAGTACAAATCATATAAAAAAGCTCATATATACAGATGGCCTACACTTAATAATTTCATCTGTGAGAAGTAACCCAAGTATCGATCTCACCTCCCCAAGTATTTCCTTCCCAGTGACATGTTACCGAAGCAAGCTGAACCCCCCGAGCCCAGCCACCCTGCTTCCAGCGCCTCCCTGACCCTCCCACCACATCCCACAGCAACATCTCCATAAGCCAGGAGCACTTCCCACTCCTTCCCTCCTGCACACAGTGCAGGGCAAACCTTACAACAGGGATCTTTCTCCATGAGCTTTTCAGGCAGTGAGGTGATTTGTTTCTGTGTCAGTCTTTGCCTGTGCAGTGGTGGCTTCCAGGTGAACCATACCATCACTTGTTTGTCCTCATCCTTACACCTAACCTGGCTGCCCATACACTGGATGGAGTCACGCACAATAAACTGACAACTCTGCATCTTAAAACATCTGTGGTCAGACCCTGTTTGGTTTTCTTACCCCTTAAATTCAAAATAAAGCAGTAATACAATTGCTGAGCAACTGCTGAGCGATTTTCATATTAACTGCAAAAAGCTCAATGCAAACATTTTCCTGACACACTGACATTTCTGAGCAAATTCACAGACTGTGGATGCTCATTACATCTAAACCTCACCACTAGAAACGTACAGTAACACCTCAAATAACTCGTGACAGTGCAAAGTTCAGTTCTGCCACAGAAAAGTCTGGTTAACAGGTACATACCTACACAAGGTAATTGCTGGAAATGGTACTCACTTCCTAGTTTGATTATTCTGCCTTTCTCTCGCTGCCTTCCCATTGCTGCAGTACGTTTCCCTTGGAGATCAGGAGCCTCCTCAGCCTGCCATGCCCTGCCACGGTGGAGTGACGGACTGCGACAGCACCACTGTTATCATGTAGTTTGCCTTCTTGCCTCTTCCACTGCTTGGCTCACGTATAAAAGCATAGCAAGGAATTGATTCAGCTATAGGGCTTTTACAGATGTCCCCCACGTTGTCCAAGTCTCTGGCAGTCGCTGGTCCCTTTCCAGGAGGGCAGTCACAAGCCCAGCTCCTGCCCCTAGCTGTTTCGCAGATGGGTGCTCGCACAACAGGTCACATTCCCCACACCAGCTGCTTTACATCTCCTCAGCTGGGATTATTCACAACTCAGAAATCCGCAGCCAATTAGGATGGGAAGTCCAGAGCAACTTTCCTTTTCTCCTGAGCTGGTAGGAAAAGGTGATGGGTGACCAGTGGCAGCAGGACAGGGAACAACCTTCTTGCTCCCCTCCCGACAGACCCTTCCCCAGCACAGCAGCTGCACAGAAGCCCCACCTCGTCGCAGCTCGATGGGCAGCAGTGTTGCTCCCCACTGGCTTTAACTCTCTATACACCTCAGACACACAGAGCATCTTTTCTTGAACACATCTGCACTCACAGCAGGAGGGAGAAGGTACCAGATGCCCAAGGACTATAATTAAAAGCTTGACTGCCCCTTTCACACCCAGATGGTGTAAAATGAACCCGACAACACGATTACAGGCACCACCGCATCCCTGCTGCCAGCACCTGCTGCCCAGAATTAAATCCCTCATTAACACCCCCAAATCCAGGAGCTTGGGGGAAGCACAGAGCACGGGAATATTCAAACCTTCTGCCTTTGAAACAACAACAAAAAAAATTTTACTTTAGCATATTTTAAAACAAGAGACAGCCCTCACTGTGTTTCTTTGTTCAAGATCAGATTATTTACCTGAGTCAGTTAGGGAAAGCAACACCTCATTCTCCAGCTTCTCCCAGGAAGCCAGCCAGGTGTGATCCCCACAGGTTCAGTTGCTCCACCATGGGGTAACCCCTTCCGAGGATAACCTGCTCACCCCCAAGGATAACCTGCTCAGTCCATCAGCAGAGCATGGAAAAGGACAGGTCGACTGCAGGTTAGTATTCCCAAACTGGCAGCAGCAAGGCAGCATCCCCAGGTGCTTAGATCCAGCTGCATCCCCACGGATGATGCCCATGGCTCAATGAGTCACGCTGCTCCGTGGAGCTACAGGAGATGTTTGGCCAGGAACAGCACGGCATGGTGTGGGTGGGCAGCTGGCTGCTCGGTGGCAGGGTCGTCAAGCTCACAACTCTGGCCTCTCTCCCGTGCAAATAGCAGAGCAGGCAAAAACCACTCTACACACAATCCCTTTCCCCAGCTCCCTCCCCTCCAAACTGCTGCCAGGCTGCCTCAGTGGCCGTATCGCCTACGCGTCCGTAACAAAAAAGTACAAGAATTATGATTTTTGAAAGCCAAAGGAAAGTCATCAAATATCACAGAGGCTAGGTGACAGCCTCTGCTAAATTCACAGAAAGGATTTAAAAAAGCAGCTTTGTCTCTGAGGGAAGAAAAAAAAGGTAAAAACTATGAAAGATTTTTAAGAGATAGGAGCTAATCAACTTTATAAAGTCCCCTGCGTTAAATGGAAAAGATGCAACACCAAAGCACAGGTCACTCTCAGTACAATCACAGAGTTAAATTAATATCTGAATAAAAGAATGCTTACATAGCTAACAAAAAGCTTCATGTGTACCAAGGTACAAGATGAAAGGGGAAAAAAAAGTAAAAGGGACCCCACTTTTCTGCAAGGGACCCCAAATTCTCTTTTCTAGTTTATCACCAGAAACAATGCTGAACAGTCCACAAA